ACAAGCCACATTTCTCTTAAATTCCCTTAAACCTTTGGTATTTTCAAATTAAAATAGCCCTGAAACAAGAAGATATATGATTCAAGTTTATATTAAATAGAAACCTACTAGCTTTCATACACTTCTATATCTTTTCTTTCCTACCCAAGCTCCTCTCCACAGATAAAGCTGTCTTTCTTCAATGATGTCACTCTCCATTATCTACAGGAAAAATTCCAAATTCTTCAACAAGTTTTATCATGCCTTTCAGGATCTGGTTCCACTTTCCTTTTCTATTTTATTTCCTGCCACTCTCACATCACTCATCTCAATCCAGGAAGGAAATTAACAGATTTTGATCATCTGCCCTTTGCTAGACACTCTCCTAAGAATTTCATACCTCTCTTGCTTTTGCAAATATTCCCCAGTAAGCCACTGCTTCAGGCTTCAAATTCATTGTTCAAGATCAAACTCTTGATGATACCTCTGTGATGCCTGATAATATCTTCCCTTTCTCCTCCCCTTGTTCTGCAAGTTATTGAATTAAATCACTCCTTCCCTGTGTTCACACAGCATTTCACAAATAAATCTATCACAGTTCCAATGTCTTTAAATTCTACATTGCTATGTCTCTAACTAACTTGTGGCTCAGGAATAATACCTAAGTATCCTTTTGGACTCAATACCTAGTACGATGTTTAAATATATATATTCAGTTGAATTAAATGAATGAAGTAATATATTTATTTAGTTTTTATGTTAGAAGTGCCTCCATTTCCAAGATTGTAATGATCTCTTTGAATAGTAACTTGCTGAATATAATTACATAGTTCTGTGAGAGCAAAGGAAAGAAAGAAATAATTTCATTAGAGAGCACCTGCCAGTTCTACCATTCTCTCTTATACTCAGACCTGGTGACAGACTTAGATTTCTAAGCCGAGGGCTAGCTCATACTCTGTTGTGTGGCATGAGAAAAACAACTGCTCAATATTTTTTTCTCTTCCAAATATGAGCAAATGTGGATACAAAAGTCCTGTTATTGGTATGCTAAGGGAAACAGAGTCTCCTCCAGGATAGCATAGAATATGGATCTCTTTTTGCATATGAAATATATCCCAAATTAGTTTATTGAATGACTACAGTCAGTCAATATTTGTTTAGTCCAACCTCAAACATTATGGTGAATGAATGCTTTAAACATAAACCTATGATGGGATTTTAGGATGCCTTTGAATAGACCCAAACTTACTTATAGCCCCAGGAAATTAGACTTTAAATTTTACCACCAAAGACAATCTGATTCTAAAGTTATTAATGACTACAACTGTGATTTCCTTTGTAGCTTTTTTTCCCACTTTATATGTGAGAGAAGTAGGTTTTTGAAAATCACATCACAACAAAGACTAATGGAACTAATGTTCATGGTGTTATTACCCAGTACTGGTTCTGAAATTACCTTCAAAATTTCACATGCTCCATTTTACTAGTGCCCATCTTAGCTGGGTTACCAGTGGGGGGGGGGAAGGCTCATTCCATTTGCTAGGTATCTAAAAGCAACCAGCTACATTGGTACCATTCAATAACAATGACCCAGTCCAAACGTCATTAGAGTCTCATAGAAATTGCATATTTTTTCCTTTAGAAAAATTCAACTGTATATCTCAATATTATCCATCCCAAATATGTCATTATCTATCATATTCCATCATATCAAGCAGCAAAACATAATTATCACTGAAGGGGTATAAAATTAAACTTGGGAATTATCTTTATCAAGGAAAATTTACCTTCAAAATTTTAATTAATGGCAAGTGACACCTGGAAGGTTAGATGTAAATAAATATCTAATTTTGTAAAAGAGGTGAATTTTGTAAAACAAATTCAGTTTCTCAAGAACAAATCTATTGGATTTCTCTTACCAAACTGTAAGAGTTTCCATCAACCATCCATTTAGAAGTAGCAGCTCTTCCTCTCTCTCTCACTGACTTCCCTCTAACTACCTCTGTCCTTCCAGGTCTGGAGAGGCAACTTTGAATTTTGGGAATGAACATGTGACTGGGATATGTGTGCTAATGGCACAGCAAAAATGAGCTGAAAAGGTGCTTTGACAAACATTGCTTCATTTGGTGATGAACAAATCTTATGAATATAAATGATTAAGGAGCATGACATTGGATGGTAATGTGGTTTTTGTCTTTTCTAAGAAAAATTAAACTTAGAATCTTCCAAGAAAGTTTGACATTAGTTGCAAATGGAATTTTAAATGTTTCCAAGAAACACTGCAGGCAATTATGTTTACCAATGCAGCTGAGGCATGAAATTAGAAGATATCTTTAAGTTTGGGAAGAGAATCAGGCTTCTTTTAACTCCTTTGGCTCTGATTTTTTTCCCCCTTTCAAAATTAGACTAGTGATCAGATTAGAAGGAAGGGAGATTTATTATACCCACTGTTGACTTTTAATAATGTGAGCTGGCATTAGAAAGACATAATTTTTTAAGAAATGAAGGCTCAGTTATTGTGGACTGTGGAAGTATATTTGAGGGAAACATCATGTGAAATTATGATCTTTTTTCCATTAGATTTTACCTTTAGAGAAACCTTATGGGTGTAAAAATTTGATAGAGGCTTCTGCTCCCACTGCTATTGCATAAAAGTCAAGATACAAACTAATGCTGGCAAAGTTGGTAATGACTAGCTCAGATGAACACATACCATGAGGTCTGCAACCCCAGGGAAGCAGATTTGGCAAACAATCTGTAAAAACCATCACTAGATAAGGAAAAAATTTGGTGGGTAAGACCATGGATGGGTATTGGATTGACATTGGCTAGACTTTTAGCTCTGATAGTGTTGGTTATGTGATCTCAAGAATTTAACTTGCAAACTTCTGTTTCTTCATTTACATATGAGAATAATAGTAATACCTGTGCTATCAGGGTGTTTTTGAGGAATAAATGAGGTAATATATGTAACATACTTAATAAAGTCAAAATATATTCTCAGTGATTATTAGTCATAATTTTTATTACTGTTATTGTCATTTATTGCATGAAATTAATTATTTTATTTACAAATTTTTCTTCATGTATTTCTTTAAAATGTTTCAGTCAGTTATGCACTACATCGGTTTTTACTTTAAGTACACCCAAAATGTGGCAAGTAAAACATAATTGATAATAAGTATATTAGTGAGATATAATACTCCACCTTAATTTTTTAAACTATTTTCCCTAATGTGCTTTCTTGAAAAAAAAAAGCAAAAAAGATTTATTTATTTTAGAGAGAAAGAAAGAGCAAAAGCATGAGGGGCAGAGGGAGAAGGAGAGATAATCTCAGGCAGATGCTGTGCTCAGTGCTAAGCCAACCTCGGGGCTTGATAACACAACTCTGAGATCAGGACCTGAACCAAAACCAAGAGTCAGATGCTTAACCAACTGTGCCCCTAGGCGCCCCTTCTTTATATGAGGTCTATTGATTGGATCTGCCAAGTGGTCTTATCCTGAATGGCAGGTATCAATTATAGATGTAATTAGCTCATGTTGGGATATATACCTACAAAATTTGTCCCATCTAAAATTACCTAACTTTTGATATTTTATTTCCTCAGGCCAAATAAAGATTTGAAAAATGTCATCCTTCAGATCCTCACACTTACCAATGAATAGGACAATGACACATCCTTCATAATGTTCTCTAAAAACAATTGGCTGTACAAAAGTATAAGGAATGGGAACTAGAGTGGTAAAGTTAGAACACAGGTTCAATAATCAGACAGATTTAAAGTATGGCCCTTAATCAATAGGTTATTAGCTGCATGATTTGGGCAAGTTACTTACCAATTTCAGTTATAAAAAGTATGGCCCTTAATCAATAGGTTATTAGCTGCATGATTTGGGCAAGTTACTTACCAATTTCAGTTATAAAAAGGGTTCTTAATAGTATGTATTTCAGAAGATGATTGCAAGTATTAAATGAGCAAATGCATATTTTTAGCATTGTGTTATAATAGTTTTGTGTCATTAATGGACTTCATTTACAAATTTTTCGAAAGGCAAGAAGAACTCATATTTTCCTTTAAGGATGAATTAAATCCCTAATGAATTGCTTAACAAATCTAATTATTCATAATTTTGAATTATCAGTTTTGTTGAGAATGAATTTTTTCAACTGTAAGAAAATTCAAACTATCTCATTTTGGGATGAATAAAACATTTTCAGGAAAATATTTCTTAAAACAACATACAGAACATCATGTTCTAAGAAATCAGAAGGTGCACTGTGGGACTGATTGTATGCATGAAACCACAAAAGGAGAATTGGCTGTCCTAGAACATAGGCTTGGGGCTCTTGGGGCTTGTGGGAGTGGCATTTATGAACTGAGACATTGACTTAGGTAACTTTTAGGAGTAACATAAGCGCACCATAGTTAATGACAAATTATCACCATTGCAGCTGAAAAAGCAGCTGTAATAATGACCACATTAGCTATGGCATTAGCTACAATATAATAAAGAGACAAATGAATGTGGTGTTCTCTCTTTACTGTTCTGTCACTGTCTATGCCTCCTGCCCTTGTCTCTCTCTTTCTCTTTCTCTCTCTTTCCCTACCTCTCATCTGTCAGTCATCTAATATCTACCAACTATTTAATCAGTGCATAATGGGGCAGACTCAAGACAAAACTGATATTGTCAAACTTGAAATATATATGTTTTAGTATGACTCCCTTTCCTTCCTTTTTACAATGCTGCCCAAACACAGTCATACTTCTTGGAAGCTAAAATACTGAATATGTGTTATTTTTCCAGGAAAATGTGGGAAGCAACATTAAAATTATACCCAGAATTTTATTTTATAAAAAATGTTCTACCAATACAGTGATATTTTCATATTACAAAATTAAGCCTTTATTCAAAAGGAAAGCATAAATTTATTATCAGATACCCTATACCTATTCAAATAGTGTTAGCTACTCTTGTCATTCCTCATGCTTTGTAGCTACTGGAATCTTCGTCTACTTACTGGATGGAGCTTTCGATGCGGGTAATAGTGAGGAAAGCCGCAAGATTTGCTGTGTAAGAGGAGATGACAATCAATGCAAATAGCCACCAAGCCCCCATCATCATTCGAGTAGCCAGAGTTGTGTATGGGACCTCTCCTCCTATGGAAAGAGAAAATAGAATAAAAGAACACCAACAAGTATTTACTGAGACTCTGAAGTCATACACAATTAATACCAAATTAACTTTCAAGTACTGAAAAATCTTTTGACATAACATCAGCATAAATTTCTGTATTTTGTTTATGTTTATTACTTCATATTTAATTTTATGATACTATGTAAGACCCAACCAAAAAGAAGCATGATAAATATTTAGTATAATTTCTTTCAATGATACTTCTTCTACTTTCTTATTCAATCCTGGAATTAATTACCTTCTTATTATTACCACAGATAGCTACTTTATTTCCAAATGCCTGATTATTCCATAGTTCAGTGATATTAATACTAGTATGCCTACATTTAATATAACTTTTTGGATTTATAGATCAATAAATAATATTGAAAATCATTTTTACTTGATTTCCCTGGAATCATAAGTTACATATATATGTACATACATTTATATAATATACAACATAATATATATTCTTTATATATTAATATAATATATAACATAATTTATATATTCTTTTTCATCTGTTCATCTATTGATGGACACTTGGGTTGCTCCTATATCTTGGCTTTTGTAAATAATGCTGCAATGAACATGGAGGTACATATGCCTTTTTTAAATTAATTTTTTAAAATTTCAATATAGTAAACATACAGTTATATATATTTTAACTTCAGGTTTAATTTTTTAAAATTTCAATATAGTAAACATACAGTTATATATATTTTAACTTCAGGTGTATTTATATATTTATATATTTTAACTTCAGGTGTATGATACAGTGTTTCAACAATTCTATACATTACTCAGTGCTCATCATGATAAGTGTACTGTTGATCCCCTTACATAGCCCCCATTCACCCACATACCTCCCCTCTGGTAACCATCAATTTGTTCTATATAGTTAAGAGTTTGTTTCTTGGTTTGTCTCTCTCTCTCCCCTTTTTTTTCCTTCTTATTTGTTTTGTTTCTTGAATTCTACATATGAGTGAAACCATATGGTATCTGTCTTTTTTCTGACTGACTTGTTTCACTTAGCATTATACTTTCTAGCTCCATCCATGTTGTTGCAAATGGCAAGACTTTATTCTTTTTATGGCTGGATAATATGCCATTGTGTATGTTTGTATGCCACATCTTCTTTATCCATTCATCATCATAATGGACACTTGGGGTACTTCTATCATTTGGCTATTTTAAATACTACAATATAGCTTCAATAAACATGATGCCTGTATTCCTTTGAATTAGTGTTTTGGTATTTTGAGGGTAAATCCTCAGCAGTGTGGTTACTGGGTCTGAATTAGTGTTTTCATTTTCTTTGGGTAAGTAGCCAGTAGTGTAATTATTGGATAATATGATATTTCTGTTTTTAATTTTTTGAGGGAACTCCATACTATTTTCCAGAGTAGCTATACCAATTTACATTTCCACTAACAGTGCACAAAAGATCTCTTTCTCCACATTCTTACCAACATATTAATTCATATCTTTTTGATACTAGCCATCTGACTGGTATGAGATGATATTTCAGTGTGGTTTTGATTTCAATTTCCCTGATGATCAGTGCTGTTGAGCACATTTTTGTGTCTTTGGCAACCCAATGGCTTTGGGAAAATGTCTAATCAGGTCCTCTGCCCATTTTTTAATTAGCTTGTTTGGTTTTTAGGTGTTAAGTTGTATAAAGTTATAGAAAATCTTTTTTTTTTTAAATCTTTTTTTTTTAAGATTTTATTTATCTGTTTGAGGGAGAGCGAGGGAGAGAGAGAGAAAGAGCATGAGAGTGAGGGAAGGGACAGAGGGAGAAGAAAGCTCCCCACTGAGCAGGGCTCTATCTCAGGACCCCAAGATCATGACCTGAGCTGAAGGCAGATACTTAACTAACAGAGCCATCCAGGAGCTCCAAGTTACATAAAGACTTTAACCTTGATTAGAGTTGTTATCACTCACATAAAAGAATATTTGTTGAATTTTATTTACCATGATAAAATCTGCAACTTGGATAATTTAAATATTCTTGTTGAATCCTACCCCCTCCCCAAGTTATTTGATATCTGCACTTAGGAATCTAATGTTAAAAGTAATGGGGCTGTTGACTTCCAATTCTGGTAATTGAAAACCATCTTCCCATCGACAGCAACTAGACAAATTAAATGTATAATTCATTTAAGAACTACAGAAGAAATAAAAAATGAGAAGATTAAGGTTCTGGAGAAGAAGATAATCCAGGAATATGCCCTGGTATCTAGAACTGCTTTTCCCTGGGGCATAAATTCCAATCTAACAAGAAGAAGCTAAGAGACTGAGAAGCTGTACAACACTTTTGAAAGCCTTCAAAGCTGTAACAATTGGAGGGAGGTGGGACTGAGAAAACCAGATAATCCTCATTTGCTGAAACCAATAATTACAATTTTATTAAGCCATAGGTCAAAGAAAAATCACAGGAAAAAGAAATATTTTAAAGTTTGATAATAAACATATTCCATACCAAAACTCCTTAAGTTTTAATAGCTAGTAGGATGCAGGTAAATTTGTGTTTTAGGAGAAATGAGATGATATGTTCAAAATTTTTTTTTATTTCTTATTTTTTTTATTTTTTTAATTTTTTAAATTTATTTATGATAGTCACACACACACAGAGAGAGAGAGAGAGAGGCAAAGACACAGGCAGAGGGAGAAGCAGGCTCCATGCACCGGGAGCCCGACGTGGGACTCGATCCCGGGTCTCCAGGATCGCGCCCTGGGCCAAAGGCAGGCGCCAAACCACTGCGCCACCCAGGGATCCCCGATATGTTCAATATATTGAAAGAAAATAACTGCCAATCAAAAATTCTATATACATTGAAGCTGTCCTTCAGAAACAGAGGAATAAAGATTTTTCCAGAAACAGAAGCAAAAGGAGTTTATTACCAACAGACCTGGTTTACAAGAAATGCTAAAGGGAATTTTTCTAGTGGAAGTGAAAGAACACAAATGTCCAATATAAAAGCTTAAAAGCATATTATAACTCTCACCTGCAATGGCAAATGTATAGTCATAGTTAGATTTTGCAATAACAGTGGTATGTAATTCAACTACAACTCTAATTTAAGAGGTAAAAAAATCTAACGTAGTGAAAGTAATCTACAATAACCTATAATCATAATGCAAAAAAAAACCTACAGAAATCTGTCATTATTTATACAGTATTATAATATGTAGCTGTAATAGAAATAACCAAAGTGTGAGGGAGAGGGGAAGTAAAAGTGTAAAATTTACAAATTCTATTGAAGTTGTTATCAGTTTAAAATAGTGTTATAAGCCTAAGAAGACTACTGTAAAAAAAAAAAAAGAGGACTCCTGTAACCACAAAGAAAAATCCTGTAATAATTACACAAAAGAACGTGATAAAGACGTGAAAGCATAGTGATACCAAAAGCCATCATAACACACAAAAAGACAACAGAATAAGAAATAAGGAAAAACAAATCTAGAAAACATTCAGAAAATAGCAAAAAATGGCAATAGTATGTTCTTATCTAGCAATAGTTTCTTTAAATGTAAATAGATTAAATTCTCCAATTAAAAGACAGAATAGATGAATGGATAAAACATCAAGATTCAACAATATGCTGTCTACAAAAGATTTACTTTAGCATTAAAGACACACATAAAGTGAAGGGAAAAAGAACACTTCAAGCAACACTAGTAACAACAACAACAAAAAAGCAGGGTGGCTATACTTAGACAAAATAGACTTTAAAAATGATAAAAAGAGACAAAGAAGGTCATTATATAATGGTAAAGGGATCAACACGTCAAGAAAATATAACAATTTCAAATTTGTGTGTCGAGCACTGGAACATTTGAATATATCAAGCAGAAACTAACAGAATTCAAGAGAAATAAATAGTAATACAGTAATAGTTGGGAACTTCAATATTTCACTCTCATCAATGGCTAGATCATTCAGAAAGAGAATCAATAAGGAAACAGTGGGCTTGAAAAACACTACAGACTAAATGGACCTAACAGAGATAAACTAAACATTTTATCCAAAATAGCAGCTACACATTCTTCTCAAGTGCGAGTGCACATAGAACATTTTCTACAATCAAGTATATATTAGACCACAAAACCAGTCCTAGAAAATTTAGGAAGATTGAAATTATATCAAGTATCTTCTATGACCACAATGACATGAAACTAGAAATCAATAACAGGAGGAAACCTAGGAAATCATGAACACATGGAAGTTAAATAATACTCTCCTGAACAACCAATGAATTAAAGAAGATATTAAAGGGGAAATAAAAAAGGTTTCTTGACACAAATGAAAGTGGAAATACAACACGCCAGACTTGTGGAATACAACAAAAGCAGTTCATAACCATAAACACCTGCATTAAGAAGCAAGAGGGACCCCAAATAAACAACCTAACTCTATGCCATAAGAAACTAGTAAAAGAAGAAGAAACTGAGCTCAAAGTTAGTGGAAGAAAGAAAATAATAAAAATTAGAGCATAAATAAATGAAATATAGAACAGAAAAACAATTGAAAAGATTAACCAAACTAAAAGCTGATTCTTTGAAAAGATAAACTGAATTGACAAACCCTTGATTAGATTAAGCAAGAAAAAAAAATGAAAGAACCCAAATCAATAAAATTATAAATAAAAAGGAGACATTACAACTGATACCAGAGAAATTCTCAGGATCATAAAAGGTTACTATGAATAACTATTCACCAAAAAACTAGACAGCCTAGAAGAAATGGAAAGATTCTTAGAAATGTATATGATTTTCCAAGACTGAATCAGGAAGAAATAGAAAATCTGAATACACCATTTATGAATAAGGAGATTGAATCAATAATAAAATATCTCCCAACAAAAAAGATCCCAGGACCATATTGCTTCACAGGTGAATTTTACCAAACATTTAAAGAATTAATACCAATTCTCAAACTCTTCCACAAAACAAAATAGGAGAGAAACCTCTGAAA